ATTGCCCAGAACAGGTGTATCTTAACCCGCCAGAATCACGCTCGGCGACGAGACAGATGCTCACACAGACAGGTACATGGACGCAGCTACCACTTACGGTCTCAGGTTCAGATTTTCCACCTCGCACTCACAGAGGGGCACATGTTCATCGCAGGTGGATCTTCGGTATTTCCATCCTCCCTTTTTGGCGGAGCTGAATTAGGAGAGCTTTGATGGAAGGCATTCAGGATGTAGCTGCACTGTGCCTGCTCCTCTGCTGTAAAACGGGGAGTAACATACTACAGCATCAGGTTCTTGCGTAGATCAAATAAGATCTATGTAGGAGTTTTAAATGCCTGCCAAGTAAATGACGTTCTCCACTCCTGCCCTTCCCCAAATCCTCTAGATCTGTGACTTCGAGCAAGTCACTTCCCTTGCTCACTAGGTCATCACTAGACTTCAAAGGCCCCTTCTAGCTTGAAGCCTTTAAGACAGTTCTGTGATCCTAGGGCGTTTACACTGGACCCTCATATGAATGCTAACTGATGCTACTGTGGCTTTTGCAGGACTGCTTTATCCAACTGGTAAGGGCACATCTGTAAACAGCAGCCCTTTGCACACTGGAACATGTCAAAAGCTCAAGAGTTAAACCTGCATCTTAATGATCTTGTTTACTTTTTTCATTTGATTAGCCCAAATTCAGCTGCACCTGAATCAGCACAAAGTGGCCAGACTTAACCATGCCCCAACTACAGTCCTTCAGAGGCCCTGCTGATGACCAACATTTACCTCTAACGGGGTAGAGGTACCTCTAATGTTACCTCTACCTCTCCAAGGGACACCTATACACTGGTGGGCAGGTGTTATCTCTGGCTTTGGGAAAATTCCCTTGCGGAAGGCAGTGGGGCAAAAAGAAATGAGCTTTGGAATCAGTCCCAGACTGAATTATCCCAGATCCATTGGCTGGGAGAACTCAGGTAAGTTAACCTTTCTGAGCCTCAGTTTCCCCAACTGTAAAGTTGCAATAAGTAGCTTTTCCTAGCAGTGATGTACAGTTAAGTTAGAAGTAGCAAGAGGCCCCGGGCAGGAAGCCCTACCTTTCCTGAGGGAGGCAGACTGCAACTTCAAGTCCACTTCCATCCACGTTGCTCCCTGCCCAGTGCTTAGCCTCTGCACCTGTCATGTCAGTCAAGCTGGGCCACCATCACTTACCTCCTAGGATCACTGTGCTTGGTTCTTCCCCGACAAGCCACAACTACTCCCGCTTCAAACTCCAGCCCTCTGCTGGTCTAGCTTTCGTGCCTGGCCCAGTAGTATAAATGGAAAAACCTTCTCCGGTCTGTCCAGGGCCCTTTTAAGACTCAAATGAAACAGCCCATGCCAGCCTGAGGCCTTCCTAAACCATTGCCTCAGCCCTCAGCATGACCCACCTCCTCACCAGCAGAACTTTGCTGTGCCAAGGCTGCTCCCCCCAGCTGCTGTCCGCACCTGTCCCGGAGAAGTCTGCACTCGCTAAAGGCAGGGGTTGTGGCTTTCTCATGGAAAGGCTTGAGCTGGTGTCTGTTCGGCAAACTTTAAGAAGCTCCACTTTCACCTTTAGAAGTAGCTCTCTGGGAAGGCCGCACGGGGGCAAGAACAGGGGCCAAAGATAGGGGGAAGGTAGGAGAATTTCCTGGAAGTAATGGAGGATGGTGTAAAAGAACACGACATTGGATTCAAATGACCCAGATTCAAACTCAGCTCTGTCACTTCCAACAAAGGATCTGGGGGAGCCATTGTACCCATACCATGAGAATAACAGTATCTACTTAGCATCGCACCTGGCACACGCTGAGTACTTTTTTGTGTTCTGATACTGTTCTAAATGTATAAATGCATTGATTTATTTAATCCCACTACAACTCTAGGAGACAGGTATTATTATTCTCATTTTAGAAGCACTGCAAATGAGGAAAACGAGGCTCAGAGAAACTAAGGAAGTTCTTCTTAGAGCTAGTGAGATATTCCTAAAGGCAGCAACAAATGGGACATACAATCTCCAAGACCACAAGCACTGACTGCAAGTTTCTGCATCAGGACTGGCTCCAATCTTGTTCCCTCAACTGTAGCAAATGACACAGGCCAACTGGTGTTGTAAATAGAGTTAACATAATATATTTATTTTAAGTGCCATTCATGCATATCAGTCTGGCAGCAACAATCCTAATGACACTTGGGATATTTCTTTACAGCACTAAACAGTTACAAAGAATGGGTGCCGTTCATCATAGAGGCAAAATATGAAATCGTGCAATAGCAAAACTGTAGAAACATTAAAACACTGTCCAACAGCAGTACAGAGAGCAGATTGTGTTTGCACAAAAAGCCAATGCATTTTCATCACATATATACAATATAGATATGTACACATCACCCTCTGAATGAACAATATCAAAATACTCTATTCCATTTGAAATAATCCCCGGATTGATTCCCTCCCACTTCAAAGGACATCTGAGAGACATGTATTTACAAGAACACACATGAATACGTTTACATTTCAAAAACTGCCACAAATGCCAGTCGGATTATTCTCCTGGACAGAGTGCCCCCATCTGATTATATGCATTTATTATTCTTTTCCCCAAGAGTCTTCGGTCAATTTAAACCCAAGACAGAGCTTGTTCTGCACTGACAACTAGCAACAGAAACAGCCGCCAGAGGGGATGCGCTGCACCTCACCAGGTAACTCCGGCTGTCTGGCGCCCCCCACGAAGGCCTGTCCTGGGCTCCCGGGCCACCTGAGTCACAAGGGTGGGATGGGTCCAAGTGGAGGCTCTGCCTCCAGGGACATGTGTGGTTAGGTTTAAATTCTCATAAAAATATTGATCACTGCAAATCAGTAAATGATTGCCAAATGGGAAATCAGCTTCACACAATTTGTAAAATCTTCATCAGTGGTTTCTACTCAAATCATTCAATGTAAGACTGCATTCCAATACCCAAATTGTTTAAAGTGCACATTGCTACCCAAGCAATTTAAAGTTTCAAAACAGCTTTTGTGGTATCTAGAAAACAGTGACTTGAGCAGACTATTGAAAATCACCCCCATTTTTCCAAGTGTTTGCTCTGCAGGCTGCTATCTCATCTTGCCTCCGATCCACATAAGAGGGGCCTGCCTGTTGGCTGCCTTGCCAGAATCCTCCGATTTTCACCGAGCCAAGGGGCTGGAACCGAGCTTCATTTTTCATGCCAAGCAAGGTCCAAACAACAAGAACATAAAAGCCCTTCCTTTCTCCCCAACCTCATCAGCCTTTTACCGTGGCTGGCCTCCCAGTGATTCATTAAAGGCAACACTCCATTAAAACAAAATAGCCACACACAGTGACAAACACTCTCACACACACACATACAGAAACAAAGATGTCTGTCTAGTTCCAGCAGAGGACACTCAACCACAAAATCACTAAGGCTAACTGGAGTGATTTAGTAAGCATGGCTGTAGAGACTAGAGATGCTGAAAAGCAACCAGTGAGCAGTGATTACCCCTTGATTTGATGGAACAGATCATTCCCCCATCATAACTGAAAGAAATTCCACCTTTTTATGGTCTAAAGAACCAATCAAAAATCTATTCATTAAAAAAAAAATCTAATTTCTGTTACTTTTATTATAAAACTAAGACAATCAATCCATGCAAAGTAACTATGATATGATATGAAACAAAACAAAACAAAAAAAACAACTAATAAAAACCTCAAAGAGGCAGGCTGCATTTCAAGGAAAGTAACCAAATGTCATGCATACACAGACACAAAGGACAACAGAAACAGCAAACCACTTAATGACATCTGCACTGAAGACTGAGGCAAATAAAATCTATGTGTGGCTCTACCCTCCTTTCAGTGCTTCCTAAGTGGAACGAGAATGAGTGAGGAAACCTGCTTTATAAACAGTGCCCTGCTGTTCTACTGCCCAAATGAACTCTGATTCAAATTCCAGAAAAATTCTATTTAGCTAGTAAGTCTCAATCAGCAGGAATGCTAAGACAGAGACATGTGCCGACAAAGAGAATGACACAATCTTTCTGATTGTCTTGTCTGTAAACTCTTAAGAAAAACAATTCTGTGCTTTCAGACACCGCACTTCTCCTTAATGAACCCAATAGGAGCTGAGCATTCACAGAAGGTAGCAATAAATATTAAAATAACACTTCTGAATAATAAATACAAGAGTGAATATGGAGGCAATGATTTTGTTAAAGAGCTGAGCAATATGCCCAGCTGCTAATCGATCAAAGAAATTTTAGAACTGTTATAATGCAGATTTAGGGAAACAGACATGGAAAAGGTACAACATAAACTCTATAATCCCCCCAAGCATCAGAACAAATTTGGTCAGTTCTTTATGCTGCTCAGGAACAACATGCCCCTCTGGACTGTTTGGAAAGCATCAAACTCTGGGTCCTTACTGAGTAGAACTCAATGCCCATGTTTCTGAAAAGCAGATTAAATGAGGGGAACTGGGCTTTGAAAAAATCCATTTCCTTTCAGTTGCCTTCATCAGTTAAAAGCATCCTGCAGAAAATAGCCTAACGAGGAATAAAAACTCACAGTTAACTTTCTTTCCAAGACGTAATAATCCAATTAGAAAAACTGAAGCCTTTCAGTAATTTTTGTACATATATTTACACATATGTATCTATAAACTGCTTGCAGCAAAATAGGCTCTGTCTGAAAAATCAGTCTGGCACTTGTGGTCAACATCGAACTGACACAAATATGCAAAAGCCGTTCAAATCACACAACAGTTAGGAGCTACATAGGGCAGCTGGCAGGGAGACAAACATGTAGTACTTGTTTGGGTCAGATAAAAGCAGTAATTTATCCAGCTAAAATCTTTTTGATTGTCTTCAAAAGAAATTTTGATAACATCGGTAAAGTGATTAGCAACTTTGTTTTCTCGACTGGATTCTCTGAAACCTTTCCCTTCACTGCACAGAAAGGTGATGCTGGGGTCTGGTGCCTTTGCAGAAACAAGCTCTACACAATTGAATCCCAATCAAAGTCATCCTGGATGTCATCTGGAGGCAGAGAGCGCCGCATCTGGAAGGCTTGGGAAGGCATCATGTGCTGCTGGTTCATGGCTCCGTGATGGCCTAGAAGGAAGGAGGCAATGTCAACAGTGACTTGGGTAGAGAAGAAATAAATAAATGAACACTGATTGAGTACTTACTATGTGCCAGGCACTCAGTGCACATTATCGCTCTAATCTACGTAAGAGCCTTCACCAAGGTGGCTCTTATGATCCTCATTTTATAAATAACAAGGCCTGGGTTTAACAGAATGAGCAAGTTACCCAAGGTCATCCAACTAGTAAAGGGAAGTGATTTGAACTCCATTCACTTGGCTCCAAAACCCACACCTGTTGGATTAAACCAGGAGGTAGCAAGGAGGGCATAAAAAGAATGCTAGAGTGCCCAAGTGTGGGCACAACCCTTTCTCTTAGTCTGTCCTGCATCAATCTGTGTTTCAGCAACATGAATTGGCTCCCATGAGAATGGGAAAAGGAGAATGATGTCAGTGTACCAGTGAGGTCACACTGGGTCATCATGAATTCCCACCAGCAAGTTAACTTTTGTGCCACCAAGTAACAGCGGGTAAACACAGAGGATATCAGCATGGCTGAGTGCCGGAGGCCCTGAGTGCAGGACAGGGCGCCCGCTCTCCACGTTCCTCTTCTTAGATCTGTGTGGCCGTGTGCAAGAGCTGGTGCTCTGCAATTTTGGTGCGTTCTGCCCTTGTCACTATGGCTTTGACAAACCCCTTTCCAAACCAGACTTTTTTTTAAAAGTAATAATCTCTGTTTACTTGCAGAATTCATTCTTTTATCAGGAATTAAACATATCCTTTTCATGCAGATTTTTTTACTGGATGATTACAGTTTTTGTTTGGCTTGCTTGACCTGATTACAAAGTTTCAAGTAGTCTGCTGCTGATCTCATTTTTCTTATAAGCAAAGCCCTGCCATTTTTAATGTACCGTTTTACAAAATGCTAAGGTTTTCAATACATCACAGTACAGCAGAAATGCCTATATTTATTTTTTAACTTATAAATATCTTAACTATGTGCCAAGCACTAATTTAAGTGATTTGCCTATAATCTTCATTCAATTCTCTTAACAACCCTAGGAGTTAGGTAGTGTTGTGAGCTCTCTTTAACAGAGAAGGAAGTGGAAATAGTAAGGTTAGGCAGCTATCAAGTGGCAAAGCACCAGAATGCAAACCCTGCGAATCCAGTGCCAGAGTCTTAACTACCCTATCTTGCCACTTTCAAGTTCCTGGTGAGTGCTGAGGACAGATAACACTTATTCTTTCCTGTTCACCAAAGAACAGGTCACTTGGCCCCCAACTCCTCCTTCACTATTACCTGGCACACAGTTCTTTGGGGGTTTTGAGTTCCTATCTGCACATCACCATTCTGCTCCTCAAGCAGCCTAAGTGGAGGGGGCAGTGTGGTACACGAGAAAAACAACGAACTCTAAATCGAGATATCAAGGCTTGAGTCTTGGTTTGGCAACTTAGCCAAACTGGGGGCTCTGAGCAAGTTATCTCAACTTCTGAGCCTCCATTTCCTCGTCTAGATAGTCCTTAAGCTCCCTTCCACCTCTAACCACGTGCCTGCCTTTGCTGCCCTGGTAAATGTAACTTATCCTGTATTCAGGAACCTAGGGGGGAAAGCTTATGAACCAGTGACTCCTGCAACTTACCTCTTCTGTAAGAGGCTTCCTTAGAAACTAGAGGTGGGGGGGACTTCAGCAGAATGAATGGAACAGAATACGTAGGAGCTAATCAAAGCAAGTTCTTGAAGCCTGCTCAAGTCCCATCAAAGTCAAAAAGCCTCAAAGATTTCTAAGACCCCAGGACAAGCTCTATGCCCTGGACCTCATTAGAGAGGCAGGACAACAATTAGAATCATAGCATCGAAGAGACTTCAGGTCAAATGGCCTAAAGAGCAAATGGCACTTGAATCCCCTTCCTCAGCACTGAAGCCAAGTAACTGTGCACCCCACACCCCATCCTCCCTCACCAAGGAGTTTACTCCCTCCTCAATGGCCTTGTTCGCTGCTGAGACAGCTAAAGCTTTTCCATATTACCCTCTGAGTACCAAATGCAACACAACACAGCCCAAATTACCTGCAATAGTCGTTCCTGGAGTGCTGAGTGCCTGTGGGATGTGAGGGTAACCAGGGGGCGGCATCACTGAAGGAGGGAGATTTTGCCTGGAGTCTATGTACAAATTTCCTAATCAGATTGAAAAACAGAAAGAAGGAAAACATATTGCCATAAATAAACAAGTTAAACATTAAAATCTTAATACAATTGTTACCTAAAACTAAATTAAGCAGGTAAGGCAAGGAAGAAAAGAGAAAGAAAAATTACTCCTTTCAGATGCTAAAACTACCAAAAGGTGGTGCTGGCTTCTCGAACATGGTGCCAGGCTGGATGTGAGTACACGATGCTAATTCCAGCTCTGCCTCTTACTGTCTGGAGGCCTGAAGGCAAGTTATATGTCTCTATTGTTGTTGTTATATACTTCATAACAGTTCAAAAGCATTTTCATATCTATTACCATCTGAGCCTCCCATTAAGTCCAAAATGAGGGCAAGACAGGGATTATCCCCATTTTATGGCTGAGGCAACCGAGGCTCAGAGAGACTAAGCAGACTTGCCCAAAGAATATCAGTTTGACAAGGGTAGGGCTACAATCCAGTTCTCCTAAATCACAGGCTCTTTCTAGTAACCACTGTCCCTATGTCCCTGATTTTCTCACTTTCAAAGCAGACCTATCTGTAAGTGCCCTAGCTGATTAACAAAGTGAATGGGGGCACAAAATGACAGGAAAGATCTGCACAAGTTTAACAGAGTTATACCAAGTAAAGGTGATCAAAAATGTATTATTCAGAAGTGTGGAGAAGGGAAATAGAAATCTCATTTGAATGGCATTTCAGAAGGTTCTTAATATATTTTTGTTGACAGGAGCCATTAAGTGTAACAGCTCTAAAATGTCAATTACATTGCATCCTAATGCAAAGTAGGAAGAGAGGGAAGCAAACATCATAAGCCCACCACCAATTACTCCTGGGGAAAAAGAACCATAACACTGGCTCACATTGTATGGACCATCTGGAATTCTGGAAAGGCTATTTCTCCCTTAGGTATTCTATTGTGTCACACAAAGTACAATTGCATTCTACCACTGCTGTAATCAAACTAGAAAACAGCAACCATTTTCCCAGAGGAAACTAAAACGATACTCATGGCAGGAACACTGTATTTGGCTGCTCACAAGTTTTTACCTGTCACTGGAATGTCAGACTGTCCATGCTTAAAACAGCCTCTGAAACAGTCTAATTCAGGCCTACCTCTGTTCATGCAAATGAGGACCTAAGACCAGAGGAAAAATAAGACAGAACCAGAACAGAACCCAGACCTCTGACTTCCAGCCACTGCTTCCCAAGATAACATGACTTTTTATAGCAAAGTTTACAGTCAGAACTAAACTCTTTGGCCAATTTCCCATACTGAAGATTTAGGAAGAAAAGAAAGGAGAAAAGTTACACTAAGCTGCAGCTCTAGTATATTCTTAGAGGAAAAATCCTGCCCCCAAGTGCTGATGAGGCTTTACATGAGTGGCTGGTGCAATTTCTAAACACTGCACCAGGGTGGAGGGACTATGCCACTTTGAGTAATATGGTCACTCATTTATCAGTGACTTCTCAGCCTCTGTCTTGTAAAATCTTAGCTCTCTTTCTACTCATCCTTAAAAATTCAAGTCACAATCAAAAGACAACTGATTTTTATGGAGATTAATTCTGTTTTTATATTTTTTTCATTTCTCTTTCTTGGCTTAGTAATTCTTAAAGGGAGAGCGAGGTGACAATTACAGAAGAATGATGGGAATAAACAAGGATCACAGGAATAAATGGACACCCACATTAAACAAAAAGCCCAAGTTTCTGAACTTATCCCTCCTCCCTACCCCATTGCAGGCAGCTGTTCCTGTGTTCCTCGAACTTATACAGCTGGCAGGAGCCAGGGTGGGAAAAAAGGACACTGTTCTCCAAATACTAGGGATCTGTAATCTGATCACAGAGATACAGACAAAAAGGAGGGTGGTCATGTCGTACCTTCTACCAATGCTGCAAGCTCCTCACCCAACACAAACTGATTTCCTGGTCTTTAAAGGGGGCTACTGCCCCTTTTCCTCCCTCTTTCATTTTCCTCTTTTTACCTTTTTGAGAGACAGACATTAAAAACTAGGACAGCGAAAAACAACTACGTATACTGGGAAAATTAGAAAGTGACCACCGACACCAAAAGCACAGGCTCTGAGAAGACCTGAGAAGACTTTAGGGAAAACCTTAGCACAAGGACACCGTGCAACAACCAAGAAAACAAAAACAATAGGCAAAAACAATATTTGAAAACAGCAAACCCCGGGGAAAGGAAATAATCTGGTTTCCATAAGTACCACACTATTAGATTCAAGTATCTAGTTTTCAACCAAAAAAAAATCACAAGGCATACAAATAAACAAAATAGTATGCCCCAAAGTAAGAATAAATCAGTAAAACTTGCCCTTGAAAAAGATCTGATGACAGACCTACTACACAAAGACTTTAAAACAACTGTCTTAAAGATGCTCAAAGACTAAAGGAAGATGAAAAAAAGTCACGAGTGCACGGGTGGCTCATTCAGTTAAGGATCTGACTCTTGATTTCGGTTCAAGTCATGATCTCATAGTTTGTGGGTGGGTTTGAGCCCTGCTTTGGGCTCACTGTCAGCGTGGAGCCTGTTTGAGATTCATTCTCTCTCTCTCTCTCTCTGCCCGCCCCCAATATATAAACTTAAAAAAACTTTAAAAAAAAGAATGTATGAACAAACTGAAAATACCAATAAAGAGATAGAAAACCTCAAAAGAAATAAAATTCTAGAACCAAAATGAAAAATTCACTACAGAATTCAAAGATAAATTTGAGCAGTCAGAAGAAAGAATCAGCAAACTTGAAGATAAGACAATGAAAATTATCGAGGCTTAAGTAACCAAAGAAAAAAATTTGAAAAAAATTAAAAAAACAAAACAAACAGAGCCTAAGGACCTGTGGGACACTATCAAACAGACCAAGTCTACATTGTGGGAGTTCCAGAAGAAGTGGGGGTTGGGGGGAGTAGAGAAAATGTTTGAAAATATAATGGCTGAAAACAACCCAAATTTGGTAAGAGAGGAATGAAAACATCCAAGAAGTTCAACAAACTCTAAGTAAGATCAAGTCAAGAGACCCACGTGTCAAGGGACATATTATAATCAAATTTTCAAAAGCCAAAGATAAAGAGACAATCTTAAAAGGAGAGGGAAGTGACTTGTCACATACAAAGGAACCTCAATAAGATAGAAGATTTTTCATGAGAAATGCTGGGAGTCAGAAGTCAGTGGGCTAATCTATTCAAAGTGCTAAAAGAAAAAGTGTCAACCAAGAATTGCTACACCCAACAAAACTGTCCTTTTCAAGAGGGAGGGAGAAAATAAGACATTTCCAGATAAACAAAAGCCAAAGAAGTTTGTTACCATTAGACCTGCCCTCCAAGAAATGCTCAAGGGAGTTGTGCAGGGTGAAATAAAAGGACACTAGACAGTAACTCAAAGCTGTATGAAGAAATACAGATCTCAAAAAAGGTAAATACATGAGCTATCATAAGAGCTAGTATTACTGCAGCAACAATCTAGAACTACTTTTTCTTCTCTACACGACTAAAGAGACTAATATATTTTCTAAAAACGATTAGTCTAGAAGCTTATATTATTGTAACTTTCATTTGTAACTCCACATGTTGTTTTCTACATAATTTAAGAGATGAATGCATTTAAAGGAATTATTAATATATATTTTTGGGCACACTATGTATAAAGAAGTGATTATGTGATGTCAGCAACCAAAAGGGGTAGAGATGGAGCTGTAAAGGAACTGAGGTTTTGTGTATTATAGAAGTTAAACTGATAGAAATTCAAATTAGAGTGTTATAACTTTAGGATGGTAAATGTAAAACCCATGGCAACCACAAAGAGCTATGCAATATACACAAAAGGAATGTGAAAGAATTCAAATATTTCACTAAAAAAATCAACTAAATACAAAAGAAGACAGTAATGCAAAAATAAGTGTCAAAAACCTATAAAACCTTATAGATGACAGAAATCACTCACCAGTAATTACTTTAAATGTGAAGGGATCAAATTCTCCAATCAAAAGACAGAGACTGGCAGAATATGTAAGAACACATATCTATAGAAGACTCACTTTACATCCAAAGACACACATAAAATGAAAGTGGAAGGATTGAAAAAGATATTCCATGCCAAAAAGCAACCAAAGAGAACAGGGATTACTACATTAGTATCAGACAGACTTTCAATCAAAAAAGGTTACAAAGACAAAGAAGGACATTATATATCAACAAAAGGTTTAATACAGCAAAAAGACATAACAATTATAAACACCTTATGCACCTAATAATAGACCACAAAAAATATGAAGCAAAAACTGACAGAATGGAAAGGAGAAATAAACAACTCTGCAATAATAATTGGTGATGTAAATACCCCACACTCAATAATGGAAAGAACAACCAGGCAGAAGATAAGTAAGGAAACAGAGAACACAATAAACCAACTAGATCTAACAGACAAATACAGAACATTCTACCCAAAACAGTATAGTATACCCATTCTTCTCAAGTGCACCTGGACATTTCATAGGACAGACCATATTTAGGCTCCACATTAGGTCTCAATAGATTTTAAATGATAAGATATACAAAGTATCTTCTCTGACCACAACAGGATGAAGTTAGAAATCAGTAACAGAAGTAAACTGGAAAATTCTCAAATTTGTGGAAGTTAAAACAACTCTCAAACAACTAACAGATCAAAGAAGAGATCATAAGAAAAATTAGAAAATACTTAGAGGCAAATGTAAACAAAACAACATATGGAGACTTATGGAACAGCCAGAGTAGTGTCGAGGGGGAAATTTATAGTCATAAACACATAAAAACAAGGAAGATCTCCATCAAAAACCTAACTTTACAATTTTAAGACCTACAGGGTCACCTGGGTGGCTCAGTTAAGTGTCTGACTCAATTTCAGCTCAGGTCACGATCTCATGCTTCATGAGTTCAAGACCTGCATCAGGCTCTGTGCTGACTGTTAGCCTGCTTGGGATTCTCTCTCTCCCTCTGCCCCT